GGGGGGCAAGGGGTTGGGTGGAGACCTCTCCTCCATGACTGTTCTCCAGCTGGAGGAAAACCCTCTGGCTGGGTAAGCATGGGTCCAGCCAGACCTGCAGAAGTGCTGTTTCCAGTCCTCCCCGACAGCCAGTGATTTGTTTTGCTCTCCTCTGCCTCTCTCCTTAATGCTAATCTTTGTGTTTATTTATTGGAGAAACTACTTTCAGTGGCAGACTGTAGCTTCATCTTGCATGGATTTCTTTTAATTTTTTTTKGTGTCTGTACTATTGTTATATATATATTTTGAAGTGCTGGTTTCAGCAGGGGCAAGGATAAGGAGGYAGATCTGCTGAGCAGTGCATTTGAAGGATCCTTGCCGCCGGGAATGCTGAAATAGGTTGGCCAGGCTACCAACGCACACGGGATGGGGAGGGGGGAGATGCCAGGAGGGGTGGCAGGGTGGGGAGGAACCAGTCAAGATCTGGAAATTCACATCAGTGCTATCTCTCTTGGGGGTTTTCTGGGGTTTTTTTTGGTATCCATTTAACAAAAAATAACCAGGTCCTCCTTCCCACCCTTGTCCCCAGATCCCACACACGCGCACACACACACACACACACGCAAAAAGAGTTAATCAACTGAAAGTGTTTCCTTCATTTCTGATCTAGAATTTCAACTTTTTAACCAGCAATAAAAAGGAGCAAGTTTTTAGACTTATCTTACAAGGTGTATTTTATAAAAATTAAAGAAAATACATTAAAATTAAGAACATTCTGAACAAGATGTACGTCTGCCTGTCCATTTGTTGTGCTGGCTTTCCTAACCCCCCCACCCCACTCCAGATTTAAAAAAAAAAACAACAAAAAAACAGGGAAGGGGAGGAGAAGGTCTCAGGGGAGCAGCACTTGCTGTCCCATGTGTGGGCCAGCAGCCCCTGCAGGACTCTGCCCACTCCAGCCACRAGATTCATAACTAACTTCAGAAGCATTGTTCCCAGCTGGGGGGCCCTTAAAACCTCTGYTTCTCCTCCAGCCACCCTGAGGAAAGCCAGGGTCTTGTAGCAGCTGTGTTTGGTGGTGCTGCTGCCCTTTAACACTCAGCCCACGTGGTGACAGCCTSTGTCTGCTCATGTGGCAGCCACAGCACAACCACAACAAAACTAACAAATCTAACAGGACAGCTCCAGCCAAGCTGGCTGGCCTCCACTAGGCAGCACGTGTGGGATGAACATGTCCASAGCCATACAGGGTGAGTGATTCTCTCACTTGCAGAGAGCTCTGTGTGGAATAGGATGCTCCTGTTTAAGCAGGAGGACAGACTGGATTGTCTCAGAGCACTACATGTCCTGTCTCTGGCTCTGTGGTGGCCACATGCCATTTGCTGCAGGATTGTTAGCAGTGTGCACRGTGCTGGTGCATGGGAGGGCATTGGCTGCCGCCTTTTCTGTCCGAGAAACTCTTAGAAGCATCTTTCTACAGCAACTGCTCAACAAATATTGATTCAAATGTTGCTTTTCTTGGAAATTCTCCCCAGGAGCTGTGCTCAGGGAGCTCCAGGGAGTGAGGCCACAAAGGGATGCTCCCAGCCCCACATCAGACCCCAGGACTGCTGYTTGCAGCAAGTCTGTCCAAAAAGAGATTTCAGAAACAGCCACATGCCCAGGAATGGCTGGGTGAGACCTTCACTGCACTTCCTAAATGTGACTCTAGCCCAAATCCCACTCCCCTCTCTCTTCCCTGGTTTCAGGTCCCTCCAAACAGGCAGCAAAGTTTCCCRTGCAGCCTGGCCCGGGGAGGTTTAGCTCATGCATTGCTGCTGCCCCAGCTCAGTGGCACAGCTCAGCCTTGCCCTGGCTGACAGAAACCCATGGGGCTGCAGCMAGCATCAATGGGGCCCTTTGTTCCCTGCGTTCCCAGATGCCATCACCCTCCTCTCCCCACGTTGAAAGGGCTCTGTGTGTGCACAATCAGCCGCTGGGYAGAGCGAGCTGGGGAACAAAACACCATCTCTTTCCCCTGGCAGAGACTGGTGCCCCCCCGGCCCGGGTGAGGGCTGGGGACAGCAAGTGCGAGGTGGTGTGTGAGAGCAGCGAGCGGTGCTGGACCATCCTAGGGCCAGAGGACACGTGTAGCCACATGCAGCCTCATCAGGTGTGCCCTTGGCCACGTCCTGCTATCACCCCATCTGGGGACATGGGACCTGCCCTCACASCTCCTTTCCTGGGCACTCAGTGCCCTCTAGGAGCTGGCTGAGAAAGGACAGGGAATAAGCTCTGCCTCACACCAAACCACATCTCTGTAAACTGCCCCATCACGAGAGCCTCCAGGAGGGGAGCCAGTGCAATCACATTTTCCTTTGTCTAGCAGCTGAAAATGTGGCTGCACTTTCCTCCCACAAAGGCTGGACCAGAGAAAGGGACCCTGGAGCAGGTCCCATGGGCTGCCTTGCTGCAAAGAAGGCAAGGTGACTCTCGTCCCTCCGTCCTGTGCCCTGCCACCCCAGGAGACGGCCCTGTCTGGGGAGGGTAAAAGAGAGAGCAGGGCATGGCGGCACCCAGGGGTGTTGGTGATGACCAGGGGTCTCCATCCCTCCGCTCAGGCGGCCCCCAATGGCAAAGGGCCGCCGGGCTGATGCTGYTCCCGGCCGCCTCCGCATCCCCGAGTCCCCGGGTGCGCATCTCCGGTCCTGCGGCTCCTCCCCGCGGCCATCGGACGCAGCGGCGGCTGCTCGGGCAGCGAGGCAAGGCGGAGATGAGCCCCGGCTCCCCTGCCTGGCTCCTGCCCGGCCCCGGCTGACCGTGCTCCCCGGAGACCCCTCCCCTGAGCCTTCGGACCACAGAGAGYCCACAAACATCACCAATAGCTCACTTCTCGTAGCACGGATTCGGGCTCAGCCCTGGAAAGGCTACGTAGGATGATGATGTGCTGGTTTCAGCTAGGGCAGTTTTCTTCCCAGTGGCTACAGGGCTTTGTTTTGGATAAACCGTGCTCGGCAAGCAGCCTTTCCTGCCAGGGCTGTGGCATGGTACTGGCACCTACCTGCCCTGGGGAAGTCCTCACCTGCCACCACTCRGCTATCCARCTGCTTTCTCTTCCTCYRCACTGTCCAGCTCTGCCTGGGAGARGTCTGAAGATGAGGAGGGAATAAGTAAGTCAATAAAAAGTCACAGAATCATAGAATGGCCTGGGTTCAAACAGACCTTAACAATCATCCAGTTTTCAACCCCAGGCCATGGGCAGGGACACCTTCCACTAGACCAGGTTGCTCAGAGCTCCATCCAGCCTGGACTTGGACACTTTCAGGGATGTGGCATCCACAACTTCTCCAAGCAACCTGTGCCATGAGTCTTGTATCTGCATGTGACCGTGTGCATCAGCCCCCAGAGAATCCCAGRAAGCCAAAAGAGCTGCTGCACCAGCCATGCAAGCACTGGGGCTGAGGGATAKCTCTACTTTTGCACAAGCAGTCACCTCAGCTGGAAATCCACCATTTCACAGATTAGCCCTATCTCCCTGTCAAGGGGCTCTGACTCACCTGAGGCCTTCAAATCACCACTGAGGGAGCTGCCACCATTTCCCACCTGGGCAGTGGGGAGTGCTCCTCAGTCCAGAGCAGAGCATGAGTGTCCCAGCATCAGGGCTGCCCCAATCCCCTGTTGGGAATTGGAGCCTGGTGTGGGGTTCAGAGGCTCCTAAAAGGGCATTTTGAACTCTTCATTCTTTCTGCTCATCCTCAAGCACACAYGAGAATATGCTGTACCCAGAGATTGTGTTCCCATGAATCTCCTCACAGTTCATTGCTTTGCAGAGCAGCCCCAGGCATGAGGAGGAGCTGCACTCAGGGAACATCCCTGGTTATGTAGAGCAGCCCCAGGGCATGTGCAGCCAGCCACTGGGGCTCCTCAGTGAGTGGCTCTTGAGGAGAATTCAGTTTCCTCAACCCACCAAGCAGCTGCATGGCCTTGCAGGGATACCACCTGGCCCAGAGCAGCAGAATCCTCAAGAGGGCTGCGGGAGAGATGATGAATTGGATCAGGAGCTTCCTCACCCCTCCTCCTCCTCTGCAAACACACTGGGATAAGCTACAGCATCTGTTCCCCACAGAAGCAGCTCTTTGCTTTCCTATGGAAATACTCCTTTGCCCTCCATCCTCAACTCAACCCATGAGAAAACTCACTGAGCCCTCTGCCACAGCTCACAGCGAGAAAGTGGGGAATGAGGGAATACCCTCACTATGGCTCCTGYCTCTGCCTGCGCTTCCCAACAAACACCTCACACAAGGGGATTCAGCAGTGCTGGTGCTTTCAAACAGACCTCACTGATGAGAGGCAGCCTCACCCACACCCCACAATGCTCCCAGGCCAGAGCCATCTCCCACCAGGGTCATTTTGCAACTGTGCTTTCAGCTGCCTTTTGAAATGGCTGAAACAAGATGCTGGAGGTCCCCAGATACTCCAGCCCACATTCGAAATCCATGGTTTCCAAGGACTTTGAACCCTACACTGCCTCCTGGAATCATGGATAAGGCAAGCAGACCTGGGAGGAAAACAAACTAAAAAGTTCTGCCAAAAGAAACAGCAGGCATAGGCTSTGCAAACACAGAGAAAGCCTCCCAAATAAGCAGCCATCCTGGCAGAACAGCAAAACACAACAGTCCCCATATGCTGATTTCCTTCTCAGTATCCTATGGAAATCGTGCCTGGTTACAACCCCCTTGGAGCCTGAGGAACCAGATCCAAGATCACCGGAAGAATTCACAAGAAGGTACCGGACTCACTGCTGAGAGCCCAGGCTGAGAATTTAAGATGTAGTGACAGAAGGAAGCAATGTGGAAGATTTCTGTTATGAAACGTTTTTGATACGCTCTTAAAAAAGACAAAACTGGATTCAGSTATTGAGCTCTGTTCTTTCAGCTCCTGATCCAGGTAGGTACACAGGAATAACTGACCCTCTGATTCCTTTGTGACTTCTCTGCCAGATGCTGTAACTAAACAGTTCTCAGAWGAACAGAAACTGACTTGAACAGCCAAGAAGGCAGCCACTTTCTGAATTCACTTGAATACATCCATGTTTTATTTGCTTAAATAAAGGTAGAATCCTGGTTTTACAATTCCAGTTCTGTAGCAATAGCAACAACCGCAGCAGCACGAGTGGACACAGAGAAGGGATGGCTGTTGGCACCAAACTTGCAACAGAGKTCAAAATCCTGGCTCCTTTGGGAATTGTGCGTTTCATTTAAAATAAATTAAACAATATATTATACTATAACTTTTTTTTTTTTAAAAAAACACATAAGCCTAATGTAATAGGGGGTTTTAATATAACAAAAGTCAATGATCCAGTGTCTGTTAGAAATAAAAGGTGCTGTGTAACACGTGCACAAGGCTCTTGAGYTTTAGCTACCACCATTGACATACACAGGGTGCTGTAAACAGAGCTGCACGTGTGCCTCCTGCAGTCTGGCTTGCTGAATCTCTGCCCTCTTCCATAGGAGGAGCCAGTACTCACACAGATCCCAGGAGATTCATGGGGAAGTGGCAGTTTCACCTGCAGTGAGCTCCCTCAGCAGTTCCCCTAGCAGGGCTGGCCAGCACATGAGGGCTTGAATCTATTGCGACCCCGAGCCCCTGTGCAAACCAGCTCCAGGGAATGAAACTGGAACCACAGGTCACAGAGTCTGGGATCTTGAATGAAGTATCAACCAGTGTTAATGGAGAAAAATATGGAGGCCTCAGGAGGTCAGATATAGGTAAATAAATAGTAACAAAAACATCCTATAAAAATCTCTTGCACCTACAGAGACAGAACCTTCTCCTTAAGGGAGCTCTTTTTCCAGAGACTGCAACAGCTGCCAGATAGCATTCACTCCCCGTGAATACAATTGTTTAGAAATCAGATTCCCCTAAAGCCTTAATATTCCAGTCCCTTCCACACATGGCTGCCCTAAAGAGAAGGGCAAGATCTCCCTGGGTTACCCCAGAGGGAATGGGGGCATGTTCATGCTCTGCATGCTAAGAGACTATACCATGATAGGGACAAGCTGCCAGCACAGGGCAGAGACTGTCTTGGCTCTAAAGCATAGTTTAAGGGAAATTACTTGATTTGAGCTACAAAATTTACCATCCAGCAGCTGATGGGAATCACAGCCAGCAGCCAGTGGGTACGTGCTTGGGGCAGGCTCCTACGTGCCTGTGGGCAGTCACAGCTTTGGCCAAACGCTTGCACAGAAGGTTGCAGGGCACGAGGTTTGAATGGTAAGGACAGCAGTCAGAAAGCTCATCTCTGCTACACAGACAGCTTGGTACTAACACCTAGCAGGGGGCAGTGGATGGGAGCAAAGCCTGGCATCCCTTCTAGAACATTCCTTGGGCCCCCATCCCCACCTTGAAAAGAGGTGGGACCAGTGCAGCTCTCTGCCCACTGGACTGAACACAGCAGTTAGTTAACTGAGCAGAGTTGACCAGCCTCTCACAGATAAAACATCCTGAATTTCCCATGAGGGATAAAGGGTCAGGACGATGGCATGGGTTAACTGTACTCAGCAGCACTGTGCCTGATACAAGTGAGTGATTCCATGCTGGGAACATTCATGCTACAGCAACCAAAGACACGGATCTGTCAGCTAATGAGGCACAGTGGTCACTGGTGCCAGACAGCAAGTGGGTTTAACGCCTGACCACGCAGAATCCCCCAGCCACCTGCACRCCTAGCAGACAGCCCACCCACCTGCCATCTGGTCTTCTAGAGCACATCACCTGAACACAGTGATTACTTGTGACAGAAACCAGCTGAAGTTTCACACTCCAGATCTCCTGAGTAACCCTTCGACATGACCCAGCGAGCGTCCACATTGGTGTTTTTCACCCAGGGATTCAAGGCTGAGCCTCCAYAAGAGACAAGGAAACATATATTAAACAACAAGCAGACAGTCTCTCCAAAAAATAACACTCACACAAGACAAAGTTAGAGGTGAGGAAAAACAGACCAGAAATAGGCAGCTATGGAGAAACAATGCTGTCACATTCAAACACAGGCCAGTCTCTCCTTCATATGTTGCTTCAGGTCAGAGCTCTAACGATCCTCATCACAATTCAGTCTCAGGACACAATGCACTTATTCTGAAACAACAGATACACACATCCCAGCCACTCCAGTACTTGGCTTTCTCACAGTCACAYGGGCCAGTCTTTATGACAGGTTTTGTTCAATATGCTGAGTGGGATTTCCTTTGGCAGTATGGTCATGAGTGGGTCTAGTATTTCTTTTTAGTTCAGGACTGAAATACTTCAGTGTCTAGGGTGCTCTCAGCTTTGCTCTGCAGACAGTTCTTGGTACAGAACAGATTCCTATTGTCTTTTGCGAATTTAAAGGACTTTAACCCAGCCCTTTAAACTCCTGCTAGAACAGGCAGAGATGGAAGCAAGACTACGCTCACATGCTCTGTTAACAGCTCCCTCCTGCAGATACATGCTCTGTGCCTGAAAATTCCAGGCAGGATTCAGATGGTGAGGCTGCAGCTCCCCAGTGAGCACACCACCTCTTGTCCTTGTGGCACTCTCCTCAGAGTGCCCCAGGGCTGCCCAGGTGTGTTCCGATCCAGCCTCTAGCTCGAGCRGTGTTCCCGAAGCAGCAGCCACTCTCAGCAACAGGAAGACCCTGATTTGGAGTTGGACTGCAGGTCAATGGTGTGGCCCAGCATGCAGTGCTCCAGCTGCTCCTCCACCGCCAGCACCTGTCGCACGGCYTCCTCAAAGGCCACTGTCACATTGGTGTCATCCTTGGCACTAGTCTCCAGGTAYGGATAGTTACCGTTTTCCATGCACCAGGTCTGGGCCTCCTCTGGGCTCACCTGTCTCTCCAGTTTGTCTATCTTGTTGCCCAGGACTACAAATGGGAAGTGTTCAGGGTCCTTCACATCAGCGTAATAGATAAACTCCTTCTGCCAGTTACTGAGGTTCTCAAAGCTCTGCCGGTCATCCACGCTGAAGGTCAGTAGGCAGCAGTCTGCTCCCCGGTAAAAGGGCGTCCGCAGGCTCTTGAACCTCTCCTGTCCTGCAGTGTCCCAAATCTGGAGGGTTACAAAACGCCCGTCCACCTCCAGGTCCCGGTTCAAGAACTCCACCCCAATTGTGTGGAATGCCTGAGAGTCAAACTTGTTGGTGACGTACCGATTCATGAGGGAGCTCTTCCCAACTCCACCATCTCCAAGGAGAATGACCTTTAGGAGCAAGGACTTCCCACTCATTGCAGCAGGACGGAGGGGCAGGGTATCAAGGCAAGGCAATCTGCAGGGTTCAGAAATAGCACAAAATACCCATTTGACTTGTGGGTACTGCAGAAAGACACACACGGATGAACAGAATATGGTATTTCCATCCCCATTTCTAAACAAGTTTTGTATACAGGAGGTGATCTCTCTTTTCAGAGAGATCTTATTATCCTACTCTATCTTATTAGAGAGATTAAAGCTGGAAACTAGACARGCTTTCTGGCACTCAAGTCCTCCAGCAGGTCCAAAATGGATGCAGCAGGTCACCCCTGTAAGTGCAAGGTGAAAATAACTGTTGAGACTTCAGGATAAACTACATCACTTTTTCTGAAAACTCTGTATCAGAAAGCTTGTCCACTTTTTCCAAACACATCATCATTACTTAAGTATCTCTCCAGGCCTCCATCCTCAGGCTATCACAGAAATAGCAAAATCACCAGGCCTTCCTTTCCACTGTACCATCTCCAGCTGAGTAATTTCTCCTCTCTGACTTGCTCCACTGGAAGGATGTAACAGATGCGCAGGTCTAATATCAATACAAGTCATTTKTCAAGCCAGTTCTTAATCACCCTGAGGATGCTGACTCACCTTGCCAGCGGAGCTGCGCGTGATCTCCACGGCTCGGAAGGGGTTTCCCAGGCACAGGGACCAGCTGCTCTTTGCTGGCAACGCCTGTCACAGCCCAGTTTGCTCGGGCTCGGCAGCAAGCTCACATTCCCACAACCCAGACACGGCAGGTTCCTCAGTCAGCATCCTCAAGGCCAAGTGCCAATGCATCCTCCCCCTCCCAGGGACACTCTGCAGGCAAACGTRAAGGCCTGACATGGAACAAGGATTTGTTTGGCTGTTGTACTGTACCTGCGTTGTCTCCAGGCTGTCCAGGGAACACCTTCCTCCAGTGCAACAGTCACTAAAAAACAAACATCAGTCATCAGGGCTGCCAGAGCTGCTCACGTTGTCTTTAAATTTGTGATACTGATGCAGGGTGGAAGAACAACAGCAGAGCTCTAGGAAGCTGCATGGCTGGAGTACTGATGGCTGGAGTAAAACAGCAAAAGCAAAACACTGAGGAGTTTCCCTTGCCCTGAGTGAAATGGAACACAGCCCATTTCTGGCCAGGGCAGAGCCAAATAAGAATGGAACAAATTGAAGAAGCTCTGACATGAGTGCACAGGCTGTGCACCCTCTGTCTCCCCTTAGTCCAGGGAATGACAATAACTATGATCTGCTTGCCCTGCCTACTCACACACTCTGGAATCTAATTTGAGGATTGAACATGTACCTGAATCTGCTAACYAGGAGTATCAACCAGCTGACAAGAGCCTGGTAGGAAAAGAGACAGAGCTTGCTTACACCTGTTACCAACATTCCTGGGAAGGGTGTGGATGAGTAGTGCTGCTTAGTGATGACACCTCCAACCCATTGAAGGAGGACTGTGTGGCACTGCTCAGATCAGCACTCCTACTCCTTCCAGGCCAAACCCTGCTTTCTTCATTAATCTCGGGGGTCCCTATTCAACCTTGATTCTGCTCTTTTTGCAGCTCTTTCAAACAGTGCTTAACACAAAGCCAAAAGCAGAAACTTCAGCTTTAATTGAGTTTCGGCACTTTCTGCACAAAAAGCTCACAAATTTCACTTCCCTGCACCGAAACACCTCAAAGGAAGCACAGCTGAGCTAACCTGATGGGCTATTTGAGGAGCAGCGTGTGACCCAGTAGTTCTAAAGCAAAGACCAAAATGCAAATATCACAAGAAACAAACAGGAACTGTAGCACAGTTCCCCATSGCCGATGGCATAGAGGAACTCCCCCCTGCCCCTTTAGCAGATGAGCTGTTCAACACCCTGTTCCTTTTCCAAGCCTTGCTGAGGGATGTTTAAGACAGCCGCTGTCACCAAAGACCCTCCTGGCACAGGCCATCAGCCCCGAGCAGAGTTTCTGTTTAGAAATGGTCTGTTAGCAAGTGACTCGTTTTAAAAATGACCAATAGGTTATGTCAGGTTGCCCCAGAGCCTGCAGGTCAGCACGCTGCTAGCAGCCGTGACACAGCCGTGACATCGCTGGCGCCGCTGGGAGCAATTCCGGCGGCTGAACCCCACTGCAGCAGGGCCGAGCCGCTCTCGCAGGTACCTGTGTGCAGGTACCAACAGCGGGGAGGGCGAGCCGGGCCCGACTTCCCYCCGCTCCCCCGGCCCCGGCTCGGCGGAGGCGAGACCCTCCGGCGGGTCCCCTCCGGCCCCACGGGAGCGACCAGGGAGGTGCCCGCGGCCGAGGAGCGGCACCCGCGAGGGGGCCCTCGGCAGGGGCCGGGGTGAAGGGGYGGCTCTCCAGTCCCCACTCCGCGATGCCCACGCCGGGGGCGGCGG